ATATATATATATATATGTACATAGGCATAGGTATATATACATATATACACATATTGCAGACATGCACAGACACATACATATGCACGTACGCATACACATACACATACATATACACATACACATACACATACATATAGATGCGCATGTACATGTACACGTACATACCCGTATACATATAGATGCATATGTATATACTGTAGATAAAGATTATACGGATACCGACACGGACACTGATACAAATACGTCCAGATACAGATGAAGACACATATAGATATACCTATACCTGTTCATACCGATACGCACATACGCACACACACACACATGCATGCATGCATGCATGCTTACATACATACATTGATTGCAACTCTCTGCTAAACGGGAAGACACACACACACACACGCGCGGCTGCCAAAAGCCCGAGTCAATCACACCCACCAGAAAGTTGAATGTCCTAGAGTCATGCAGCAGAAATCTAGTCGTGAATTTAGGATTGCAAATTGGAGGCTTTGGTCTGGGGTTGCCTATCATCAGCGCACAAACCCAAAACCCAACCCAGCCCTCGACTCTGAGCCCTTGCTCCGTTTCTTTTGCAGCCCAAAGTTCCACTGGAGGGCGGCCGCCAAGGCATTCGCACCGCCCTTGGAACCCCCGCAAAGGATGAGCCGCTCCTGATCTCAGGGCTTACGCAGTAGGGTCGCAGTGGTTTAGGGTTTAGGGTTTAGGGTAGTAGCAGCAAGTGGCAAGAATAGTCGTTCGAGTAGGGGCACGGCAGCAGCTGCAGCAGCAGCACAGTCTGCTCACATGATTTCCCTTGTGAAGAACGGCCTGAGCAGAAAGGGCGAGCTCTCGACATACCAAAACACAAAGCTGAATGTCTCAATGAGTCTCATTCCTTGGAGCATTGCTGCTGAGTCTCGAATGGCTTTCCCCCATTGGCCTGCCACGCACAGCTCGACGACACCGACAGGTTAGGTGGCACTTGCAACACTGATGGAACCATCAACACCCCTGTGCATGGAGAGTGTTGGGCCTACTGGAGTTACAAAGCAGGCAAGACTCCACATGCCACAGTTCTGCATGTGGGTAGTCCTCTAAATTAGGGTCCCTTTTAGGTCCCCAATATAGTACGGCACTCTTATAAAACGTGGCTGACCTCCCCATACTAAGCGCTTAACCCTAAAAGCACTAAATCGCTAAACCTTAAAATCCAAAACCTCCATCCATCGGCCCAAGCTCAAGCTTCCAATCGAAACGCCTCCAGGATCGCTTCCAGGAGGAAAGGGGCGTCCGCCTTCGAATTCTTACGGTTATTGTCAGGGTCATTAGGAGAGGTACTGCATGGGTTACCGGGTACTGGAAGGGCTACTATAATGGATTATTCTGCGGGTTTCAGTAACACTGTCTAGAGTCAGAAGATGAGCTAGGAGTTCAGTGTGCTGCTGCAGCAGGCTCTCAGCTGGAAGAAGAATGTCAAGCAGTAGAAATGTCTCGGTCTCGGAGCCAGCCTCAGCAGTACTCCAAAAGCCGCTGTGGACGAGGAGCACTCCTTCGCAAGGCCCGGGTTCAAAACTGACTGACACATGCACACCCGAGGTTTGCAGCTCCTCGCCAGGCTGGCACATCGATGCGGCGAAGGGACAGGTTGCCTTGGTTCTGCGGTCTTTTGGTGTGCTGCTACGTGTTGCTGGGCATGGAGAAGAGCGTAGGCTTCTTGAGAACTATCACTGCTCCCCCCCCCCTCATAAGCCCCATGCAATAACCGTAACCGCCTGACCCCCAAACAACAGCCTCTGCCACGCATTGCCACGCAGGGGCTTTACAGAACGGCAACCCTAAACAAACTCTTACAGACCCCGTCAAGAACCCCCCTACTGTAGCCAACCCTTAAAGAAGTTTTAGGGAAACCCCAAACACAATCCCCGTTCTGCCACCAGGCGGCTGTTCTCGGTCCAGTCGAGCATCGTCTCGGAGCCCCGGAAGACCACGAAGCAGCAGCCCGAGGTGTTCTTGAGCACTGCCCACCTTAGAGAAACACCCTGAAGCCAAGGGGCTTTTGGGCTTCAAGGTTTGATGCTGAATATTTTGGGGCTTCGGGTTTCAGGGTCTGAGACTAGGTTCACATCAAACCTTACACCTGAAGGGTTTCGGGCTTCGGGCTTCTAGGGTCTATTGTTGCTGGCTTTATTGGGGTGTCGGGCTTCTGGGGACAATGGCTTCGGTGCCAGTGACGCGTCGTTTCGGGCTTGGTCTGGGTTTGGGATATAAGGGAGGTGAGTGGGATTTTAAGTCTAGCCGGTTGGGCTCTTGAGCATGTAGCACAGGCGGGCGCGAACATGATTGGAGACAGGCCTCGCTAGTCTTGTACTCCAAGCATATCAGGCCATAGGGTGTAGATACCGTTCTTGCTAAGTAGACCGTCGGTTTCAGAATGAAGTTTGGATGAGGCTTATGTCTACGGGAGATTGGATCTCGCGACAATAAGCTTTGATAAATTTATGGAAGTTCCGGAGGCAATTCCCAGAGAAGCTGGTGGTCGCACAAACCAGGCCAACTCAATGAAACTGCTGGGCTCAGACTGCCGGAACTCTTCCCTATAAAGCAGATGCAAGGGAAGCAATTCGACCAACCCAACACCCTGGACATGCTTCTCCCAGAACCCAAAACCCTTCTAGACTCCTGTAAAATCCTCTTGGAACCCTTCTACAACCTTCAAGAACAAAAAGCCCCAGACTCTCACAAAACCCTCATGGAACCCTTATCAAATTCCTGCAAAATTTGGCCCCCCCAAATCCTATGGTCAAAACTCCGGGCCAGCAGCTGCAGGTTGATTCCATGATGCTGCTCGGGAGTCTGGACCCGGACCAGCTCAAGGCCTGTCTTATCGTGGATTAGCATTTAAGGTTTAGGGTTTAGGATTTTTGGTTTTTTTTTTGGGGGGGGTTCGGGGGGTTTCAGGTTTAGGGTTTAGGGTTTAGGGGATTAGCTTTGTTATGCATAGGGGCCCCCCCTATGAGCCTGTCTTTGAATATACTGAGGCAACTCAAATGTCAAAGGCCAACCCCGGCTGGGTATAGGAATTATATCCCACGTGCAGGTTTGAACAAGGTTTTTGCTATCGGTTTGCGTTACTGGGTGTTTGCACTTTGGTTTGGGTCTGGGGGGATTTCACCCGTGTGTGGGGTTGGGGTCTGGGCCGCAGAGATAGTTAAAGGATCATGGGGAATTAGTAAGTTGGGTTATAACTAAGGTAACTATACATATAGCCCCATTCAGGGGACTTATAACCTGACTTACTAAGTCCCATGATCCTCCAAGTACGGGTCTCGCAGGGCAACGAGGCAGATGCTCCGGAACCTTGGCCTTTGTGATTCCCGGCTCAAGCTGGGCGACCCGAAGCCCGAAAGCCTTGAAACCTTACGAGTGGGCGAGAGAAAGAGTTCGGTATTCCTGTTCGGGGGTCCTTATAATTAGGATCCGACTACTCAGAGTTCTCTATCAGGGTCCCCTAACTCCCTGACTTTCTGGAAGTCGAATAGTCGGGGGCCTGGAATTGGCATGGTTTCCGGCGATGGCTCGTAGATCCACTCGGAAAGTGCCTTGGTCATGCCCCGGGTTCTCAGGAAATGAGGGGGCCTAATTATCTATAGGATGTTACACCCAAAGTAAGAAGCCAGAATTTAAAGAGCCTCTATATCATAGGATCAACGACTCAAAGGATCCAGAAACCTCCGGGCCAGAAACGCACAGCGCAGACCTTCGTTTGCCTCACCTCGACCTCCCAAGTCCCGTATTGGCTTAGGGTCTGTAGGGTGACACCCTATTCAGCCACAGCATTCGGCTTTGCAAACACTACGCGAAACCCACAAATCGAAAGATCCCCAGCATCATCAGGACCCCCTAAGCAATGTACCTAAGCAATGTACCCCCCCCATCTGGGTAGTCCTCTAAATTAGGGTCCCTTTTAGGTCCCCAATATAGTACGGCACTCTTATAAAAGGGGCCCTAAAAAGGGACCCATAATTTAGAGAACTGCTCATTTAGAGAAGAGGAAGCTTCAAGAAACTGTGCTCAGTCCCGGCGTCCGCACAAGCCAGGTCCAGCGGCAGCTGGACCGTACTCATACTGGCCATCAGCCCTGGATGACACAGAGGCCTTTTGATATTTTTCTTGGGGGGTGCCTTCTTTACGCGTTCTTGTAAGGCTCTACATCATGGTTCCTGATTTTCTGAAACTCCCATTTCATAGTTGTGCAGAAGCACTGGGGTATTGCCATAGGAGTTTAAAACAATTTCAGAACTAATGCGAGTACCTAAAGGCAATACTGGGCATGTATGAGCATGATGATCAGCGGAGAGGACGGTCATCAGTGATACCGACAACTGGTGGTGGACCTGCGTATCCTATCTCTCACCACGTTCGGGCTAGACTATCTGACTATCTCCCAACGGGCACGGCTAGGGCGGCAGAATCAAGTAATCGGTTTACAGCGAGCCGAGATGATTTCATGGAGTTGTAGGTCTTGGAACGCAGCACTGCCTCGAATTGTGGTCATTCGTTGCGGAAGCTCCACGATCTTACCCTTGACGACCTGCGAAAGGTCAGCTTCGGGAATCGTTATGATGCGAACGGCAAGCAATGTGATGGGCAGGAAGCACAAGGTGGTAGTCCTGGTGAGACTTGAACGACCACTGTAGTTCCCACTACTGTTCTCGCGCAATGTTTGTGAGCCTTGGCGCTTCTGCAAACTAGACAATAAAGCCAATGCCATCATTGCTTCGAGCGCAGAAGTCTCGTCTAGTGCTATTCAGCGGTTCCCACAGCTAATGCTAAGCGGCGCCCTCCTTTTCAACAAACAGCCTCCGAGCGACAAAATGTTCAGATTCGTTGGGTTCGCTCCTAATGGTGAGATCTAAACCCCGGGGAAATCTTGCAATCGTAACGCTTGTGTTTTACAAGCTTTGTGGGGCATGTGTCGTAAGGATATCACTTTTCCTCCACAAACAGCTACCCCTAGATGCTAATCCCGTGAAGCCACGGTGATGCAGGCACAACAATAACTGTAGCCACGCTATTGTCGGCAATACCAATAGTTACCTGAAACCTAACACCATCACTTTCCTACCATGTTTACAGCATGTTGCGACTGTTGCAGTACTTATAATACATATAAATATACATATATGTATATACATATACGGATATATTACATTATATTATATTTTTTATGTTATATTATGTTTATTGTATTGTTATACTTAAGCGGCACGCACCTCCTCCACTAAACAAAGCCCAGCTGCAGGTCCCAACCTCCGGTGCTGGGATCGTCAGGTTTGGTGCTGAAGCTGGAGGACTGCGGCTTGAGTTTCGGGTACTTAAAGGATCATGGGACTTAGTAGGTAGGGTTATAACTAAGGCAACTATACATATAACCCCATCTAAGGGGACGTATAACCTTACTTACTGAGTCCCATGATCCTCCAAGTATGGAATCCTAAAGAGAAACGTGCGACTTAGCTTTCAAGCTTCTATAGTATTCCATGGTATTTGGGAGTGAAAAATTCCTACAAGTACAAACTTTACGTTGCACACCGTCCATCTGGTTCGTGCACACCAATCACAAGAAAATCCGAAGTCGCGGGGTCCGAGATTACCAGAAAACAAGGCACCTGTCGGCCGTGTGTGATTCTTGCTTCTGCCCACGAGCTGGTGGAACACAGCTGTTCTGTCTGCATTCTAGACCCGGCCACGGAGACCAAAAGAACGAGCCGCGTGCAAAAACGAGCGCTCCTCTGCGCAGCCCTAAACCTTAGAGCCTATAAATCCCAGACACCCTACGAACCATGAACCCGTTAGGCCCTGAGCCTTAGCACCTAAAGCCTATACAACCCACAAGCCCTAAACTGTTTAGCCTAAACCAATAAAGACTGCAAGCCCAAAGCCCAAAAAACCTTAAAGCCTCCAAAAAACCTCCTCAACAAAACTGCACTCCTTGCTAAAGAATGGCACAGCCAGCTGGCGCTCTGTGGCAGGACGGGCCTGTTCAGCAGTCAGGGCTTATATAAGGGTTTCAATGTGTTGGAGCTCAAGGGGCTCAGGGTTAAGTGCGGGGTTTAGGATTGGATTGTGTTGGGGCTTAGGGTTAAGTTAGGGGTTGAGGATTGGATTTGGAGTACGTAAGGCTTTTGGGCTCTGGGATTTGAGTTTTTGTGGGCTTCCGGGGTCTTCGGATGCAGCGCCGTGTCGGCTGTTCGTTTCGGGGCGGTTGCAGCTGTGCCTTTGGGCAATTCAAAACTCGGGATCGACAGTGTGACACGAGAACCACTTGAACATTGAAGTCGGTTTAGGGTTTAGGGTTTAGGGTAGGGTTGATCGGCTTGCTCTTCTTGGCCATATCCTGGATTGCGGTGCTCACGAGAATTATGCCCTGAAGCCCCAAATTAGACCCCTGCAGTCCGAAAGTTTCAGGGTTCAGAGGTCTTTGGCGTTCAGAGTCTCAGCTCAGGGGGTCAGGTCTTTCAGCTCTCCTTTGCTACGCTACCGGAATGTGGGACATCGAGGTCTTGATTGGTTCCAATGGAGCTGGTCGACAAATCGACTATGCCTTTTTCACATAATGTAAGATTACCCTGCTTACTCGTGTTTGAATGCTGCCGATATGTTTGATGATGACTGCAACTACAGTGGCCCTGGTATGGCCATCGCTGGCCATCGTCAACATGATTATCATTGTGGCTGTCGTTGTCGCTGACATTCCAACGATCGAATGAGACTGCTAATGTTTCCACGATGATGCTTATCATCACGTGCACGGCTGCACCTCCTCCTTGCCCAAGTTGGCCATGATCCGAAGCACCTCCAAACACCCCACCCTCTCGCACCGCTTAGGGCTTACTGGGTCTAGCTTGAAAACAGAAACTCAATGAGACTACCCACTTCAAAGCTCATACTTTCTCTTACTTGTAACTGTCTGCTCACTTGTGTATGCTTTAGACCCGTACACAGTTGTGCGTGTGTGCGCAAGAGTTGTGTGTGTATATATATATATATACATATGACACACACACACACACATCATTTCAAGTTTCTGCAAATTGTTTCACATCGTTCCTCACATCATCCATCCTGCTCGGAACCTGCCCTGCTGCATCCAGCCTCGAGGACAAAGGTAGCTTGAGCCCACTGTGAAGCAACCCGACCTGTGCCTGAACTTTCAACCCAACCGACCCTCGTAAATGAGCTCGTGCCCACCGCCCTCAGCATGGACAAACCGAACGCAAACATAGCGAACACACACACACACACAGACTCACGAACGATCATACAAGAAAGCAGTGCTCGTGCGCCACAGGAATCCCTCTGGCAAAACCTTCGCAAACAGCACTGCGCGGTTATACACGGGGAAGTGATGAAATCATATGAAATCATGTTGTGAAACCGAAGCCAAGCACACAATGAATTCCTGGTCGCCTGCCGCGAGATGGCGTTGGACCATGCAAACAGACGCTCAGCGGCATCTTCTCGCGCCTCTCCCGATGTTCACAAGAACAGCACGCGGACGAACGTGAAACGGATGGATGCAGATGGACGGTGGTGCGCACTTTTGGAGCTACCGGCTACCGCTTCGGCAGGTCGACACGAACAGCATGCAGGTGATCGGTTGGACAAGGTGCAACAGCCTCTTCATGGGGGGACTCCATCACTGCTGCACTGTCACGATACTTGCTACATGGCGGTAATGGCACAGCTTTGAATATTACGATTTAGGGTTTAGGGTTTAGGGTTTAGGGATTGAAATATAACGAAAAAAGTAGACTGAGAACGACGCCCGCGAACCCGACACAGATGGATCAAGGCCTCAACGGTTGGTGCTGCTAGACACCCTGAATGCTTCAATCGGAGAAACGAACCGGAAATCGAAATTCTGAGCTCATGAGCCCCAAAGCACCTTGCTACATGCGGATGACAACCCCAGCAAGCACTAATCATAGCTGTCTGACTTACTCACCAGGCATCCAGAACCTCCGAAACCCTAAAACCTAAACCCCCAACCCTAAACCCTAGACCCTAAACTCTAAACCCTCAACCCACCCCAACCTTCAGAAGCCCTCAACCTTAAGCCAGGTCCGGAACCAGGACAGTTCGAGGAACCCACCTGCTGTTGGGAGCTGCTGTCCTGTCAGAAAATGCACTTCCACGACTAAGACTGGGCGGACAGACGGATTGCTCTCCTCAGGGTATGTATGTATGTATGTATGTATGTATGTATGTATGTACGTATGTAGTTATAGGTATGTATGTATGTATGTATCCAAGTATTCGTCTGCATGTCCATTGAGTATCTGATGTGCTGTAAAGTAATGGCGACTGCAAATGAAGAATCCTGCAACCTTAGCCATCTCCTCATAAACCCTAGGTACTTTAAGCCTTATGCCCGATGCACCACAATCATAATATAGGGGCCTTCATAATTAGAATAGGGATTTGGGGCCAAATTATCATTATACTATGATTATAATAAGGAACCCCCAGAATAGTACTGATAATTATTTAGGCCTCGAATTACCTGACAGCAGAGGATCCGATTTCGACCTCGAGACTCCGACGC